CCATATTGCATAATTGCTGTCTTTCTACAGTTTTAATGTCTTCATAATGCCATTTTTAAATCATTGTATTACAGTACAGTACAGTATTTCATTAATAAATCAATATTGTCTCTCTAGTTTTTTTATTCTACCTAGCACTTTATTTGTATTAATTCTAAGTTTTACTGGTTGAAAAAAATGTACCATAATTATCAAATTATCATTATTAGTTGTAGTAGCAGCAGCACATGAGACAATGTAAGACATGCTGCTGTGATTCAATCAAATCTTCATCATTTGGAAACAAGTGAAAGGACAATAATAACTGAAATTCCTTTAAAGACCATGTTCTCTGTGTTGCACGACCTTTTGATTACAAGGTGCATCTACGTTTTATAATGACAGAAAGTGGTTGGTCATAACAGGTGATTACCACTGTGAATGAAGAGATGGCTCCAGAGTGAAAGTGAGGTCGACCTCCTTTTGTGCCCACATTAAAGTAACCATTCATCATTTAAGTATTTTTGGAGTTCATCTCCTTTAAATATGGCACCCTGTTGTGAACCCACATGCTGAGCAAAGTCTTGAATTATTCCGCTGTATCGCAGTTGTAATGATGTTTGACACATCATAGTGGGTATGCAGTGTCAAACGTCATTACAACAAAGCAGTCACAGCCAGGAGAATGTCATCTCTCATCAGCTGACAGACAGAGAGCGGAGCAAACTGTGAAATCATTTGTGTGATTGTCTGTCAGCCAGGAGCAGGACTCAGCAACAATAACAACAAGCCCTATGGTCAAATCTCCGTCGTTTGTTAATAATTTCGACTACTGCCTTCTGTGCCTGCAGTGCACATCAGCCTGCCTGCCATGACTTCTACAAAAACACCAGAAAAGTTTTACTCACAGGAAGAAGTTTGAGATTTAGTCACTATACTGCAAACATGATTAATAACTCTGAGATCCACCAGCTCACACAGCTCATATGTAGTTCACAACCATAACGGTGGAAGATTTACCAGATGAAATCTTTTGGGTTTTTTTCAAACAGTGGATTCTTGACTTCAAACAGAGATAGACAAAATCAGGCTTCTCAATTCCAGTATGCAACAGTCAGTTTGAAATGGCAACTGTTACCGGCATATTTTATCAAACGAGAACCCTCTAATAGGATTTCAAAAGTGCACCTAATTGCTACATATATGCTATTATGCTAAAAGACAGGGGTTGAAGCTGCAAGCTTGAGGAAAAAATGTTACTTAGAGAGCATGGGAATAATGACTGTATTGCAAGGTAGAGGTAGTTAGCCCTAGTATTTCATACAGTCCAGAAATGGATGGGAAGTGCAATCCTAACTGGATGCTTAGCTTCCAGAAAAACAAGCGAGACGGAGGCTATAATGGCTTAGAGAGAAAAGCCTATGAAGACGAGGACCAACTGATGTGTTTGGCAAATTTAACTCCATCTCAGATAAAACTGGGCTGAGGGTTGCTAGGGTAGCGTCAACTTCCCCAAATGTTACGTTACATGGCACTCTGATACAGTAGCATCCAGAACCAGCTCCCATGAAGTGAGCAAAGAAAACACAGCTCCTGGTCCTGAAGAGCACTTTTTCTAACATACCTTGTAACTCCCTTAAATAATGTATGTTTTTTGATGATGTGCAGCTTGGCTTTGTAGGTTGTTTTTGGTTTTAAAAAGGCAAAAAAAAAGCACACCAACCCCAAAAACCCTTTAAATTTGAATATGGCTCTTACCTTCTCTTCAATCCTGCCAAGCTTTTGGAAATCCAAGCCTGCTGTGCCAAATTATGGCTGTAATGGACAATCATTGTTTAGCCAACGGTCAACTTAGCTGAGAGCTGATTTTCACTGAACTTGGTGGAGGGATGGGCCTGGGCCAGGGAAGAACACGTTACATTTTGGGGCAGATCCAGATGATTTAATAAGAATTTTCTTCTTGTCCTGAAGTGTACGTTGTATGACATTGGCCTTGGTGGAGGTTTACGCTCTTTGAGTGACTTTCTAGTTAAAATGTGATCAGTCAATCATTGCAAGTCAGAAATACTTCTCCATTTTTTTTTTTCTTTCAAAGAGGATTTGAGCAATATAATATTCTCTCTCGCACGTATTTATTCAGGCAGAGCAGAAGGCTGGTTTGTGGTAATCCCCCAGCTCTTCAGTTTCTGGGTAGTAAACAGGAGGTAGGTAAGTCTGATGATTATAGTGCTTTCAGCAATCGAGAGTGGGAGCTGTGGGCTATAAAAAAGTGGAAAGCCAGCGCCCACCCAAGTCTGGGCAGAGAGTGGCCCTCAAGAGGCACAGTGGTCAACAGTGCATGGGGCTTACCTGTCAAGAGTCTCATTGTGTCTAGAACGCACTGGAGAGGAAACTCAGAGGAGCCAAAGAGGCCAAACAGCCAGAGAGGAAGAGAAAAAAGGGTCTTTTGACAAGTGCAAGTGTTTAAGTTAAACTTTGAGGATCAAAATCAAACCCCTGCGTTTGATCTGTTTTATGCCTCTGCACTGGCAACAGCCGTGGCCGAAGGCTTTACGTTTTTGGGATGTCCGTCCATACGCACGTATGGACGTCCATCTTATTCTAGTAAACACAATGTGTCAGGAGCGCCGTGAGGGAAGGTCTTTGAATCTGTCACAAACGTTCACTAGGACTCAAGGATAAAGTGATTAAATTTTGATGGTCAAAGGTCAATGTCACTGTGACCTCACAAAACACATGTTTAGCCACAAGAATTCATATACAAATTACGACAAAATTTCACACAAATGTCTAATAGGATAAAATTATGACAATTTGAATCCTAAAAGGTCAAAAGGTGAAATTCACTGTGACGTCTTGATATTCAACAAAAAACACTTACTGGCCATTACTCACTTAACTCAGGAACAGAAGGGGAGATTATGAACATATTTCACATTTGGTGAGATACTAAACTAGTGACACTAATCTTGGCTATACCCACCTTGAAACTATACTGATAGGTGTCCTGTGCTGCTGGGTTGAAGATATGTGTGCAGCCTCCACGTTTTAGAATTTGTAGCTTCTTTGCAGCAACATCTATATTTGAAGCATTGTCTACTGTCATGGCTGCAACTTTGTATTCTATCAGAATCTGATTTATTGGCCAAGGATGTCAACACATACAATCCAAACATACATTTAATACCATTAATTAAACTCTTCACTCCATATCTGAGTCTGGGCATGAGGCGCACAACCGCGAAGCAGTAACTCTAGTTTTAGAGCGACCTTGAGAAAATGGGTGGTATGCATTATATGCACTCATCTCTCCTGCTTGTTGCCCCCCACTTTTTTCTAATTCCTCTGTTTTTCTCTCAAAACACTACCTATTGTGCACCAGTAAACATTGTTTCCCATCGCTTCACATCACACTACTTAAACTTCATGTCAGCAGCCTCTCCAGGAGACAATTCCAGCGTCTTTTCTCACCCACTTACAAGCTTGCCCCACAAGTCCGTGTTTTTATATCAATTTGTTCCACTACACACCAGCAAGGCTTACAGCTTTGGCCAGCAAGTCGAACCTTGTTTTCTTCCTGGCCCTGGCTCCCATTGGAATGGCTTTGTTATGCCCAGACTGAGCTGAATAGATAGCAGCAGTACTGTTTCTTCGCCTGTGTCCACCTGTTACAGCAGCTATTCATATGTGTAATCGAATTATCAGAAGCCCAAAGGAATCAGAGAACAGGCATTAAAATGAGTCTGCCCTCCTGTTAAAAAAAACAAGGCCATAGGTCAGGAGTATGCAATTAAAGCTCAAAGAGGTGCAGAAATTTCCTCAACAAAATAATAATGATTAAATGTTCCTTTTTTCAGTTTAGTGAAAAATAAGGGCTGTAATAAGTACATAGTGTTTTGAAAAGTGTGCAACCTACGATAGAGTGCTTAATTTTATAAATGTTAAAAAAGCATAGCTTGATTTTACCCTTTTCTTTTTTGGTAACTCTTACAGTCTGAACCATTTTCTAATTAACAATCTCAATATATCTAAACAATAACTTTAACACCTCCACCTCATTTTTCTGACTATGTCTCTCGTCTCGTTTCTCCCCTGTGAGTGTATTTGCAGTTGCAGTGATTGGCTGAGTAGTGTAACGTGATTTACAATGCATGCAATTGGTCTGTGAGTTTCCCCTGAACCAATGCCATAAAGCTAGAAAGGCTGCATTGGTTAGACTAGAATCACTCTGTCAAAATGTAATAATCCTCAATGATTTATAGTTTAGAGGTGTGGGACAAGACCCAGACACTGTCCTATCTGGACCTGCCGAGCACAAAGCAGCAGACAGACTGTTAGCGACTAGCTGGGGAACATAGTTTAGCACTGTGCTGCTAACAAGCCAGAAACTGACTTGACTGACTGACAGGTGGTCAAACACATGACTACAAATGAATCCTAATGTTTTTCCTCTATCTATTGGATGTACATGAGCAGCTGTTGTTGAACATAGTTACCATATCAACCTATAAGTCAGTGTCAGTGGTGTGTTTACAGCTCATTTCTGCTGGCCAAAAATCAGTTAAAGCAGATTCAATTCTATACTGAACAGTTAATTTAAAGGGACTTTTCTGTGTCCTTACAACTGTATTGGATGTACTGGATTTTTAGCAATGCACATAGAACACGTAGACATTCAAATAAAATACTTAGGAGTGCTTCCAGACACAGCCAGAGAAAGATCAGGGAAATACATCTGAGGCTTGCTGGAATAATTCAACCTTGGTAGTTCTGTAGAGTCAGTAATTACTGTATGTTGCCATTAAAATTGGCAAGAATATTCAAAAACTATATCCTCTCTTTTTTCATGTGCCAGTTTTTTTTTTCTTCATATTTTTTTTTATGTATAGCATTAAACTTTTTTCATGCACAAATTGAAAATGGGCATAAAAATAAGCGAATGGAAACATACCTATAGTGTATCCTAGTAATAAATGTAGGTCAACACTTTGTCTAACTCCTCTCATTTGTCTCATCTCTAGGTACGGAGACATGGTGCCAAAGACGATCGCTGGAAAGATCTTCGGCTCCATCTGCTCTCTGAGTGGTGTGCTGGTGATCGCCCTGCCTGTCCCCGTCATCGTCTCCAACTTCAGCCGCATCTACCACCAGAACCAGAGAGCAGACAAACGCCGTGCTCAGAAGGTAACAGTCAGCATCTTTAGCCATCTGTAAGGACAGTCAAAAGAATATGTGTGGGTTAAATAATATGTGTGTGCGTGTGTGTTCGTCTCACAGCATGTGAGCATAGATACTACCTGACCATTAGAAGTGCACGCTCTTGATTTTCAAAAGGCCAAAGTGGCACAGGGTTATTAGATATTGTTAAGTTAATGAGAGTGAATGGGAGATTGAAGTGTTGAGTAAAAACGCTGGGTGGGTGGACACTAATGGTTGTGCCTGAAAGACCTTTCAAAGGTTGTTTTTTTTAAGATTCAGATCATTAAAATAATGGCAGCGTGTTAAAAGATCTTGATGACAGATGAGTGTCTTTTTTTTTTTACACGATGTACAGAGGACACATTTATAAACTTTTAAAAAGGTGATGGTGAAAAGGATTGACCCCAATTAGTGATTGTACGTCTGCACTGAAAATCACTGTCCCACAATTTATACACATTTTTACCACACACACACACTTGCACAGGAAATTTGTTGCCCTTCAGACCCACATTAGTCAATGTCCTTCTTCACATGCACACACACCCCCTGTCTCTCTCTGTCTCTCTCTGTCTCTCTCTCTTTCTTTCTTGCACACACAGACCCACACACTTCAGATCCAAGTAGCAAATGGTTGCTATCCACTCACTACACTCACCCAATGGGCTTGACCTTTCTACAGGGCTAGATAAGAGTGTTATTAAGTTAGAGAGCAGCTGCTGATAGCTAATTGAGGAGGGAAAAAGTCTGGTTTGAATCTGAATTTTTTCTTTTATGCAATTCAAACACAATGGAGCGAGCTCCCCTTACACCTCAATGTGGTCCAGTTTGGCTCTCGTCAGGTTGAATCCTGAGTGAAATCCATTTGACCAATAAGCACTGAAGTAGTTGAGGGGAGACAGGGTGAATAAACGATTTATCCTGCCGGTTTGGGGATCATACCAGTAACGGTTTACAGTTTTAAGTCAGCATCTCTGATATTTAATGGCACTGCTAGCTTGTGATGTTACAGTGATGTTTCATTGATATAGTTCATTGCATCCAATTCACACATGACCAAAGACCTTAAGAGCGAAGACAATTCTCAAGTTTTAATGATACAGCCTGATTTAGTTAGGTTCAAACAAAATGGATTTATGAACAGCTACCAAGTCCTGCTCACTGACTACTGAATATTGAATACTGATCAATATGTTTATGTTGGCATAAATAAACCAATTTGCCTGCAACAAACTTACTTTTGAGTGACAGTGATTGGTTTACCTTAGAAAATACTCACTGTAGATTCTGTCCAACACAACGTTGCAATACTATACTAAGTAGTAGATTATTATCATAGTTTATAGTTACTCATAAAGTGAATGTTGGCCACTATAATCTGGCAGCATCATTTCTAATTTAGATAACGGCCCCAAATGCAACTGAAGCTGGTTATGTGATGATCTCTCTTTTTTTTTTTTTTCTTTTTGTGACTCATCCTGAACAAAATATTACAATACACCAAGGATATTTATAATTTGCTGACTGGCTGCAGGAGTCACATAGGTGTTGTAACAATCAAATATAGATACAACATCTCAGGCTGACCTGCTTTATAGCACAGAAAACAGCAACAATCTCATCCAGTCTGTCTATACTTGTAGAAACTATTGTTTTATATTGATTGTGAGGCTTTTCCCCTGAAGGGAATTTTTAATTTTCCTCATTCTTAGCGGTGGTTGTAAAACATGTCGAAGACCACGACGGGACAGTAAAACTCCTCAGTAAAACACATACTAATGAAGTTATTTCACTGTTAGCAGCTCCTAGGGCTTACCCATCACATTAAATCAGAGAGAGGAGAGACTCTGGGATACATAAGCTGCTATAAATGAAGAATTAATTTACAAAAACATTGTTGAGCTGTTAAATGAAAATTAAAAAGAAATAATATTTTGTTGCCGCTATTATGTTATGGTCATGGAGGAACCTCTCTCACCAGAAATGCATTATGCCAACAGACCAGAATCAACATTTAATGAGCAATACCTGCTGAACATTTTTTGCAAACTGATATTGTGGATATAAGTGATATTATAATAATCTGACACTAGACCCCATTGTTCTTTGAATGAATGACAGTGAATGAATGACAGTGAGTGGGTCAAACTGTAGCCTTTACTCAAACAGATGACTAATATTAGACTTAGAGGTGCATTTAGTAGCTGTTCTGGAGAGTTCTATCATATCATTTCTATCATAACATCCCCTTGTCATGGTATTGTAGATGCTCTAATTTCCTTTTATTTTTAAGTGACTTATTTTTTCACTTCTTCGTGTTGGCTTAAAACCTGACATTCAATGTTCATACAACAGCTTTAAGCTAACATGGATAAGAAGTTCACAAAGTGCAAAGAAAACGTTGGAAATTATTTTCAAATCTACAATGAGGAAAAGTTCCAGAAGAGCTACTAAATGGACTTATGTTATGAAATAACTAAGAGCCTAAATTCTACAGCTGTTATAAATATAGTTATAAATCATTTCTAAGCATTAGTTGAGCTGGATAAGACAAAACCTTATTTATCCTGAAGGTTGTTTTTGTGCCAAAGATATTCAGTATACAGACTAAAATAAAACATACATATCATATCTATGCTTACATAGTGAAATAAAATAAAAAAAGAAAATACATGTATATACACTCATGTAAAACAAGGGGAGGTGCAAATTGGACAGGAGAATGCAACACATAAATTAACATGTTAGATTGGTATAACTTATACAGAGAGGTATATTTATGCTGCAGTAGGACAAATTATAGTTAGTTACAGCTCTAAACACTCTGTACTCTTCGCGCACAGACAGAATGCTTTGCCCATCCTGTAAAGTACAGTATGTTATAGAGGTGCATAGGGAACCTGGCGCTCAGCATTCAGGAGCTGCTCTGCTGGACTGGTCTGTAATTTTCTGTTCTTACCATGTATTTGTCTAGTGAATACCCACAACTACAAAAGGGTCATCAGGATATTTACTGTGTACCTGTGAGATGCTTTTTATTCACCAATGAGCAGTAATCTCCGACAACAGCCATACGTGCTCTTTGTTTTTCCCTATAGTATGAATTTGAGAGGATGAGGAAGAAGAAAAAGAGGGAAACCAGCAGATCTGTTGTATATTAACCCTGTTTATCCATTCTCCCTCCTTCTATTACTGCATTTCTCCTGGCCTTCCCCCTCCTCTCTAGGTCTCATTCATCTTCATCCCTCTCTAACAGTAGGCAGCTCCAGGCTCCCATTACAATTATGTCGTCATCTGGGGATTTGACTTTACAAAAAGGTCCTCATGTACCCACCATAGCTTCATAGTCAGAAAATAGAAAGTAGAGAATCTCAGTTGGATTTAATGATAGTCGTTCCCCTCTAAATACTGCGTGCGTGCGTGTGTGTGTGCGTGTGCCTTGGTGAGTAGAGTTTCTCCTCGTCATGTTCAGCCACCCGCAGAGGGCATAACTAGCCAGAGGAACAACCCCTGATACTAATGTGCATAATTCCCTGACAAGGCAAAAAGAAAACTTCCTGAGAAGAAGATGACAGGTTTCTTTTTATTATTATTATTCCTGCACAAATCAGCAGCACAGCGTATTGGCCATCAGTGTGTCTGTGAGTGTTGAGGCAGTAAATGGACTGAGGTCACGCTGGTAATGGGACAGCAAAGTTCAGTGGAGCCATGCAGAGATAGCAGGTTGTTGAGCAGGAAGAACAAAAAAAAAAAGCCCACAACCAGAGACGTGAGGGCAAAACAAGATGATGGGAGAGGAGACCAGAAAGAGAGGAGGAGGCCGGACAGAAGAGAAAAGAGCAAGAGAAGACAAAGGAGACAGAGAGAGGAGAGGAAGAGAGCCTCATTGGGGTAGAGGAAATAAAAAAAAGAAAAGGTCTCTATGTGGAGTAGTTTCAAGGCTCACTTGTCTTCGAGGTGAACATTTCAGGCCTTTTTTCCCTGGACTGCTGCACACTGGCTGTCTGACTGTCTGTCGCTGGTAATGTTGGAACATATAAGCTTGATTTGCTCTGTCGACCAAGACCACAGATGAGAAAGCAGAATAATGAGATTCCATCGTCCCTGGGCTTTGGTCAGACTGTTGAGGAGGCAGATTAGGACCGTCTTTAAACAGACCGTAGCTTTATTTAGTGTGTTCAGCTCAAAGTTCTCCAGCCTTGAAATACTTCATCATCACCCTTCAGGAGGCATTCAACTTTAGAGATGAGTTTGTGAATTGCATGAATACTCATTTTTGGGGGATTTTAAACTAAAAAACTGACCTTTTCTTGATGTTTATCAAGTTCAGGAAAGGTTTTTATGACAAAACTATTAAATAGTATTTTACTGTTTCCATCAGAGTTTCATACTTTTTATACCGGTAAAGGCAGAATCGGTTATTTAGACAATACAGGGCAACAAATTTGTCCACTGACACCCAGTATATTTTAAAGCTGATTATAATAATAAAAAATATAACCATGTACTGTATATTTGTATCAGTTCCAGAGGTGAGGACTCAAGTCATAATTTTCTTTCATAGAGAACTGATATTGATTCATTGTATCAGGATGCCTAAACATATCACTACAAATTGATATTGTATTTCAAGATATTTTGGCAGAAAAAAAATATGTTAATAAACAACATTTCCTCATTACATTAATAGAAAGCATAATCCAGTCAGAGTTACATTTCCTATACGTATTTGCTGTTGCAGTTTAGTTATATAGAAACACAATTTTTCAGACACAGGGTTGGATTCATCTAGAAAAATACACGTAGTCCACAAGAATAAAACCGTTATCCCAACAGCAGTTCAACACTTACTTTAAGTGTTCCATTAGCAACACATTCGCTCCTCACAGGTATAGTGGCTAGCTCGGTTAGCAGTAAACTGATCATAGAAAATTAAGAATTCAACTAAATCACACATTGACAATGACAAAACAGCTGCAATTAAAGAGTACCTACAGATAAGGGCGTGTGAGGAGTACAAAGAGAGATCTGATCGGATCTGACAAAATGGTGGATGTAACAATGTCAGTTAATCAGCACCTGTTGTAGCCACAGAATCAACTGGAACCAGCTGTTGGTGACAGATTAGATAATAATCTACATTTTTTCTAACAAATCCAACGATAAGACCAAAGGCTTCAACGACTTCATCCTACTGAAAAGTATAGCCTGTAGCCAAAGTCTGATATATCTTATTCCTCTGTGCCTCCATTGTTATCCAAAAACTTTGAAGTATGCATCAGAGAGCCACACGGTGAACTGGGGGACACACTCCATATTCTCATCCAGCTAATTTGGTTCTGTGAAAGCAGCCCGAGGATTGATTTGTTCATCCTAGATGAAGTTATTTTATGCTTCTGCTTTAAATAAAAGGCAAATTGAGTAGAGTGTTGAAACTTTGAACAGTGTTACCACTGTTTCCTCCACACTGACAAACTTTAGATATTATAAGTGAATGTGGTCGTACTACGACTGACGTTAGAGGCATGATTGGTGGGGTTCTACCATACAAGAGTTATTTACGTGAGAATCTTAAGGTTTTCAACTCATTGACTCTACAATAATATCGTCGGATCAATTTACTGGCCATAAAATGTATCAGATTTTGAATAAAAAAAACAACTATTTATGAATAATCTTTTGTTAAATTTAGATTTAATCAGTGCCAGATTGTAGATTTCAGCAGTGAGGTTGGGGATCCTCTGATATTCATTGAAGACAGCAGACTGCCTTTGAAGTTAGAGATAATTATAAACCTGCTGTGAATATGAAACCTAAACTATTGTAAAAAGAAGCCTTAATTGCACAACCAATTAAAACAAAATGAGTTCTGCAGTTAAACATTTGGTAGGTTTTAACGTTCAAATGAGAAATTCTCATTTTAATGTCAACGCTTAAATGTGTTAATTTGTTTTTTAACAGTCAAGCATTTTTCAGTATTGTTATTTTGGCTTACAGTAAAGCAAATCTGGATTTTATTTTTGATTCATATTTTATTGTGTATAAGTGCAGGTAATTAAGTTGTGATAGTAACATCAATAGATTGTTATGATTTCTCAACAACATGTGTGTTCTCTGATCTAAAATCATTATATCAATTTTTTCATTATATCTCTAAACAAACATCTAGGTTACGATCCTGCTCACTATAAATAAGCTGCACTTACGGGCTTGTTGCTGTGACAACAGCTCCGGAGGAATTTTTAGCCAACGTTGAAGAAGCAGAAAATCCAGACTCATATTGTCAAACTGTCAACGATCTAGTCTGGATAACTCAGTAGTACGCGTACAAAGAACCGGGCCTTATTTAAATACTGAAGCACCAAGTGCATATTGATCTATGGTTGGAGATAGTAAATGCACGATTTACTTCTGTGGTGTTTTCTGAAAATTGCATTGCTCAGCTGTTGTCAGGAAATGAATAAACTTTGTTTTTTTCTGTTGAAACAAGCTCTGTTCTAGTGTAAGAATACATTTTTACTTTTTGAGCAACATGAGTTTTGTAGGGTTAAGGTGATCTGCTATCCAATTAATTTTGTTAAGCATTTATAATACTACACTGTTTCAGTTACATTTCCAATCAGGGCGGTGAGTAGGAACAACAAAACTTCATTTAGTCTCTCTTGAGTTTAGAACAAATGTTAAATGAATAAGTTTGAAGGTCAGCAAAAGCAGATCGTGACCTGGAAAAAGCCTGGTTTGCAGTTTGCAGTATGGTATAAAGTTGGAAAATAAATATATTTTCTTGCAGGGGAACTAATATTGATCCCTCTGTGACACCTTTATCAGCCATGTGGGGACTTGACTTTAAACCATTGTGACTTAAACCCTGTCTCAATACTTCAGACTGGCTCTGAACTTGATCAAATTTGTCATGGTCACAGCTCAAGACCAAAATTTCATTAGTTCAGAATGTGGTTATAGAGTAGAGGCTTCCTAGACAAGAGCTGGGCTCAATGGACCATCACAGGAGACAGGATGCTCATCAGAACATCAGAGCTACCAGTTGCAGAGCTCTTGCACTTACAGAAGGATCAGAATTAGTTATTCTTTCATATTTTTTCCCTCCTTGTGTCGAGAAGAGCCTTTGATCAACAAGAAAAGTAGGAAGTGGATGACAGCACTTTTCACTTTCAAATTCATTCACTCTTTAACTAGAGCTTCGAAGAAAGAAGCAGGTCCAAAGCCAACCCACCCCCCCCACTCCTGTGTCTCTCCACTTTACACACTGCACACGTACATCCACGATCATTATTATTACATCTCAGTCTCCAGCATTCCTCACACATTCACAGGTATCTACAGTCTGACGGACAATTTCTGAGGCATCCAAACTAATTCCATTACTTTTGATTCACGCCTGGGAAGCAGAGATTGCTCCGTCTGTCTCCTGTTTCTGAAATGCATTTACTGGGGGGAGAGAAAGCAGCGGGACAAGGTTAAAGAAGTCTCTCACCTTACGTGTCCAGAAGCACCCGAGGCAGCGGGTGTTTGTTATGGACTCGTCCCAATATCCTGTTCATTTAAAGAAATTGCCAATAGGATTTCTCTCTCATTTCCTGTTTGTCTCTCTCTGTCTCCATTCTGTTCTCATATTTGTTTAAAGGATTTATCGTTTGTCTATTTGCTACACAGAGAAGAGAGAAAAGTTTCCACCAGTCCTTTTAAGAGTGGAATAAACTGATAGACGGTGGCAAACTGGCTTTGAAATTGAATTCATTTTACATTCAGCACACAGGTGCATTGTCATAAACTCCTCAGCCTCTCATTGGCAGAAACACCACTAATGCAGTAAACCATCCATTAGCCATTAACTGTGTGTCTCATTCGCTGACAGACTACATCAGCAGGTGGATTTGGCTTCACATTGCCAAATGTTATGTTTTTCCAAGTGTCAGTGTAGTTCTTGTTCTTTATTATTTTCTGATGATTAATGGTGATTACTCATGGTTTAGTCTGAATCTTCAGCAGCATCCCTGATCCCAAGGATCAGTTTGAAATGCTTTAGACTGAGGGGCCCTGCAACTTGTTTCAGAAATTGCACTTTCAAGAGAGATATTCTTCATTATTCATTTGGATCCTCATTAGTTTGAGTTTGCTAGTCTTCCTGCGGTCCACATAAAATTATGATTAAAAACCAGCAGCAGTTTAAAATGACATGATATCAATGGAACAAGATAAGATGGTGAAAAAGAGAAAGTAATGAAGAAAAAGACCCCCCCCCCCCACACACACACACACACACACACAAAAAAAAAATAAAATCACATCAAAATTATATCTACACATGATTCAGTTGTTTTTGTTTCAGTGAGTTTTTTTTGTTTGTTTTTGTTTGTTTTTTTTACAGAAAATCATTATTCCATTCTGCACTATGTGGCACAAAAGTATGCAGACACCCCTGTCCTCAGTAGATAACTAACAACTATTTTCATTACTGATTTAATCTGATAATGAAAAGATCATATGACGTTTTGTGTATATATCTATATTTAGATATAAATCATAAAATAGAAAAAATGTTCACACAACACAGGTTTCTAATTTCCCAAGGTGGAATATTTAGATGTCTTTTTTGTCCGACCAACAGTCCAAAACTCCAAGATATACAGTTTACAGCCACAAAAGTAAAAAAAAATTTAAATTTAAAAAAACCCAGCAAAATAAGTTATCAAAATGGTTGCTGATGAGTTTTCTTTCAATTAATTACTGGATTAATCAACTAATTTTTTTGGCTTTTGTCCTCATATTCGTGTATGTTTGAGCTCCGCCTGTTCTTCATAGTTTGGGCTAGGACCCTCAGATACAGTTATGCAAAATCCTATGGTATTTTAGATATTCTAGACAGCACCGAGCTTCCAATTTTTAGCAACAGTTTGGGGAAGGCCCTTTCTTGGTTCAGTATGACAGTCCCTGTGAGCGCAAAGCCTGATCCATACAGAAATTATTTACAGAGTTTGGTGTGGAAGAACTTAAGTATCCTGCATGGAGCCTCGACTGGTATGAAACTGGTATGCAAATTGCAAGTCAGGCCCCATCGCGCATTACCACTGCTCTTATGAATGAATGGGAGCAAATGCAGCCTGCAGCCAGGTTACAAAATCTTGTGGAGAGATTTCCCAGAAGAGTGGGGGCGGTTATAGCAGCACATTAATGCCTGTGGTTTTGGAATTAAATGTTCAAAAATGACATACGGGTGTACTGTTTAGTGTCCATGTATTTTTGTCGTGTAGAAATCTTAAATTGTCACGGTAAAAGCAGTACAGTAGTAGCTGTGAAGAGTACTACAGAGTTTGGGTGATGAGTTGCCAGATTCACACCACTGAAAAAAGCGTTAGTCATCTTCTTTGACCTCCCGCCCACCCTGTCTGATGCTGCGACCTCTTCTTCTTCCCACGCCCAGAAAGCCAGACTGGCCAGGATAAGAATAGCCAAGTCCGGCAGCGCCAACGCCTTCCTCCAGAGCAAACGCAACGGAGTGCTCAACGAACTGCTGGAGCTGAAGGTGAGAAAGACCAATGACCCTCTCAACACAAAGAACCACCAACAGCAAAGTAGCGAGATGGGAAGTAACTTCAAACGTGTTTATTAAAAATGACATAAATGTCAGCAGATTGTAATTCAGTATGAGAGATTAATCATATTGTTCCTTGTCAAACACCTATCTACTAATTATTTCAGTTCAGTGCAACTCAATAGCTTGGAAGCTAAACAATTCCACATCTGCAATACACACACACTAATATCTACACACACACAAAATGACAAACAATTACTTCCATAATTAAGCAAAGGACAATTTAAAAGTCATTTAGAGGCTATAAAAGAGCAGCAGAAGTTGGAGTCATTACATTCTTGTTATACAGAGCAGGGGTGATAGCAGAGGAGTTGCGCCAATAATCCTCCATGCGAGTGTTATCAGCGTAATCACACAAAATACTTTACCTAGCTGTCCTCAGTCCTAGACTTGATTTAATCCATGTCTGTGAAAGTAGCAAGCTCAGACAACAGAGGTTGTTTTTACTTTACTTGCTTGCTCAGTAGTTTGTGGCGATAATTAGACTGTTAGTGCATTAAAAGAGGCTGCAGTAAACTTCAAAACTGCACCAGTGAACAGTGAGGCAGTGGGGGACACTATACCCTCACAGACTCCTGCTCCTACAAGACAACATGTTTTCTATCTTACCTCTTTTTTTAAAATGATAAACAACCGGGGTTTTCTGTTTTGTTTGTATCTTAAGCCTACAATAATTTAACACATTTTTCGGCAGATTGGGGGAAACAGAAACGACCTGTAAACACACCTGTTTATCAGCTTATAAATGATATGGCAATCTTGTTAGCAAACATTTGCCAAGGTACACATCCAGCAGACACAGAGCAACATTACCATTTATTTAAAGTCATGTCTCTGACCACCTAGCAAAAGTAAGTTAGCTAGTCAGTAATTGTGTCCATCTGCTGTTTGGTGCTAAGCAGCCATTGTACATATACTATAGTCAGTTTAAAGAAAATTTTTTTTTCATTTTGAATAAAAAATACTTATTGGCTTTCTTGCCAGGTATTAGAGTAGATCAAGAAGTATAGAGCCAAAGCCAGGCAGTTAGCTTAGCTTAGCTTAGCATAAAGACTGTACACGGGTGCGAAACTGTTAGCATGGCTCTGTGTAGACTTCCAAAATACACCTACCTTTACTTTTAAGGTCACTAATGAATGTGTTGTATCTCATTTGTTTAGTTTATACACAAACATAAATGTAAAAAACGAAATGTTGTGGTTTTACTGGGAGTTATTTGAGGTTACCATGCGTTCTCCAAACAACCAGGTTCTTCTTTAAAAAAAAAAAACACGTACACATTGAACAAATTAGATACAACACGTCACTTAGTAAACTTTAGAGACTAACTGTAGTGCAGTTTAACTTTGTAAAAGTTAGCTTTCCCCCTGCTTTCAGGTTTTTATGCGAGGCTAAGCTAATTAGCTCCTGGCTCTAGCTCCATACTTAGTGCACAGTCATGAGAGTGGTATCAATCTTCTCATCTAACTCGGCAAGAAGGCAGGTAAGCTTATTTCAAAAAAATGTCCAGCCACTTTTAAATGACACGCTCTTATTTTTACGTCCACTTGCAGACATCAACCATCCAACCACTATGTTCTACTTCAGTTTTTACTCGTACCCTTTTTATTTTTTTAACTTGTCACCACCATGGAAAAATGTGTTTGGTAATGCATGAGCAAATTGCCTATATCCTTCCCATCCAGTCCATCACTCTTGCTTTCAGTCACACACTCCCCTCCTTGCAGATGGTTACTAAAATCCATTTGGATCTAATCGAGTCCAGTCTGAAAGCTCATGGGTGTCTGGAAGTGGTTAGAATTATCATATAAATGCCATCTGTGAGTGCTGAGCGACCCCCATCCCTCTGCGTGTCTGTGATGAGGCTGCCAGCGTCCTGGCGCATCAAATTATGGTAGTGTCACTGCTGTCTGTCAGTCAGCTGCGCTGCGTGGGTCTGGGGTGGGAGTGAGTCGGGATATATGACAAAATGAGTGGTTCTCTCATAACCTATAGTTAGATTAGAAGTTCACTGCAGCCTTTTTCAGTTTTCCCTGAAGGATTTTTTTTCCTGAGGGCTATTTATTTGTTATCCAGATTGCAGGCTCATTATCATAGAGGGTGATTTGTGGATAATCCTGTTAAGTTTTATGATAACCTTGTATAAAAAAAGGCAGCACTGCTTTATCCCTTTGGGTGCTGTTTACTTAATTATCACTTTTCACATGAAGAGCGACAGGATTCCTTCATTTTCTCAGCCTGGCTGCATGACATCACAGACTTTTTTCCAGTGAGTCAAACAGGTCTGGTGGTGTGCTCACCGACAACAGATAACTGAACCAATCATATCTTTGTAGGAAACAAGCGAGTGAGTCACAATCACATCATGTTCCTGTGCCAATACCAGAAAAATATCAACACTTGTAGATGAGATCAGCCCAGCTATAGGAACGATCAATCGGCAATATGCATAAAATCCTCTGTTATGAATTGGTGCACATTCTGGAAAATCAATTTAGAAACGGTGATCGATAAAACAGCCAGTTGGGAATATGTTTTTTTTGACTCAAACAGCAAATTAAATAATTGACCAAAACAAAGAAAGTTCTTCATCATTCAACCATAAAGCACTCAGAGATGTTAAAGGGATTCCTACCTTACCGCAGTATTACACTGCACTGTATGACAAAATTTCTGACAGTTGACAAATGTACATCATCTCGCAGTATATATCGACATAGAATCCACCCCTAATGGGTTGTTACAAGTCAACATGGAGAAATAATAACTTAAATTGTTTGAATGAAGTGAAATGAGTGAATGAAATAGCAATTCATTCTAATTATTAACCTAACGTTTTCTCGTCTTTTGTAACAGCAGCTTGTTTCCAGAACATCACGATGAGGGTTGGGCAATATGATTATCAACTTTGGGCATGTTACTACAAAACTGTAATCAATTAAATTTAAATTTAAAAAGTAATTATATTACTTATTAATAAGCAGCAAATGTAATGTAGTGCATTACTTTCCTTACTCAGCTCAAGTAAAAAGCTCCAAAGCCACACGTCACATCTTTTGTGTTTAACATGTATAGAAATAGAAAAGGGGACATTGTGCTTTAACAGGCAGCATTACCATTTGGAGGGATTTACTGACCACCAAGCAGTGAGCTTAGCCGCCTCAGTGACTGCACACAGCTCTCCAGAAATCCCAACCTCACAGAAAAGTGAGCCGAGCTAGCACGTTCATGGACCAGTCTAGTGTTTAATGGATAGATAAATAAGGTATCTATCTATCCATCCATCCATCCATCCATCCATCCATCAAACACAGACTAATCTGATATTAACCTTCTGTCAAACTCCAGGTAAAACAGACAACGAGCAGACTCCCAAACATCTAACGGATGTGTTACTGGGATTAGTAACATAGTATTCCCTCAGCACTGATGATGATGATGATGATAATGTCATGAGACAACAGAAATTTGTCAATTCCCAGAGCTTTTTTCCATTTTGAATACACTAAAGATACTGTACGTATGTCATTGTGGGTAATTCTGCAAATCAATGAGTGGGACTGATTTATGACATGATTTTAAAGTGCACCTTTAAATTTACACCATCTGTCTGATGAATAACCTTGATCCAAGACTGAATACTATGTGTCCTGAAAGTCACATGTCATTCATTTCCTAGTAGGAAATCTTTTTAAAGCTGGGGGGAAAGAAATATGTCAGGCAGCTATGGAGTACCAAGAAACCTTATTTATCACAATAGATAAAAGGTGTCTCTTATTTAAATCAATACAAAAAGATCATGAACAAATGTGAGATGGTCATGTAGGAACATGATATGGTCCTGGATAGAGGCTATTTGATGAAGTCCCTTATTTGTCAGGTGTGAGCTGTGATAGATTTTATCAATATTGCCTAGAGCAGAGTTATTCTCCATTAGTAATTGAGTAACCTGACTTAATTCTTATTAAGATATTAAGGTAAGAGAAACTTCCTCGGTGGTCTCATCTTTACAATTAGGTTAACGTAGTCAGGATCACATTACAGATGAAATGCAGCGAATCAGCTTCTTTATTTGATTACACGATAAGAACTTTGAGCCTTGACAAATGTCTGAGACAGTCTCTATAGCTCTATAGCTCTATAGCTCTATAGCTATACAATATCTTTGACAGCGCCTCTGCCAGAGGGTAAATCCACACATTGAGACATCAGAGGGCGTACTGTTCTCATGCTCACGTCGCTGTATTGTTCATGTGTCTGGAATCTGAATGAAGAGTCCTTGGGCTGGATCGCCTCCTACCCAAATCCTTTGTGTAACAGTGTGCGCTGCGGGGAGAGAATTAATTTGTTTTCAGTTTTCATGTTATTTGGCAATTGTGATTACTTTGAGACGAAGCTGCATTGGAGCCTGAGCTTTGAAACCAAGTCCCATTTGGAGAAATACCAAAAAATGATTCTGTAAGTTTCTGCTTTTTGCAACTCTGCTGTTTTTCCTATTTCTGAAGCTTCATACATCAATAACTGTTCAGCTGCCTGAAGGATCAAATAACGCTCAGTGGTACCTACTTAGATAATCAACGAGGAGCTGGCAACAGCACAGTTTTAGAATTTATGTGTTATTAGTTAAAATAAAGTGTAAGAGGAAGTTGTTTTTGCAGCATGCTTACCAAACCATTAGCAGTAACAGTGTACTAATGACACAAAAGATTCACCATAGAGAAACTAAATTACAAACAAACCACTTGCTAAGGCAGGCCCAAAGCTGAAGGATCAATTCACACCAAGCAGAAATGTGGTCTGTTATGTAACTAATTGGCCAGTAAATTATTTGAAAGCCAGCAGCAGGAGTTGTGGGATACCTGCTCATAATGGAAATGAGAGTGAAATCAACAAGCACGAGGCAAGATAGTTCAGGAGAAAATGAGATACATGAAGCGAAACGGAAGCATCACATCACTGACTTTTCATCAGTGGTGACAAAGTTCGTTTACAGATTCTTCTGTAAATATCAAGGAGTCAACACAACACAATTTGTCAACATAACCACTGTTTGTGATTGTGTGTGTGTGTGTGTGTGTGTGTGTGTGTGTCTGCTCAGGGTACAGAAGAGGATGAGCAGAAGCTGAACAAGCCCATTTCTCTGTTAGAGAGCCAACACCACCACCTACTGCACTGTCTGGAGAAAACCACTGTGAGTGCACTTTTCTCAACACGTTCATCTTATATGCCTACTACCTATATCTGTGTGTATATGTACACTTGCATATAAATGTATAGTATAAGCCGATCAGTTAGGTTTAAAAGATGTATTCACTGTCATTAAAAAGGACTGTACTAAAAATAACTAATAACATTTTACACCGTCCAAAAGTTGCCTTGTCACAAGCTTCTACTTGACACTGTCTTACCCTTTAGCTCCCAAATCCTCCAAAGCACATCTAAAGAGAGTCTCCAGGGAGTTTTATGAAGCCCAAAAATGTCGATCACTGTGACAGGGATGTTTTCCCTCTTGTCGAATCTGTGCTTCAGAATCAGTTGGCAAAAATGGTTCACAATGTTTACATGACAGTTTGACACTTCTCACGAGACACTGGGTGTAAACAGATGTTAATCCACAGTCTGCACACAGGGATTTGGGTTTTAGAGCTACTGTTTTGCAAAAGGTTTTGGGTTGGCCTTCCAGTGAGTCATTATACTAAATGGGCTATGTGCATGAGATTGTAAATGATAGTTTTACTAATACCTTATTATTATAATCACTATTAATTATTTGACTTTGTTGTAGTGTATTTATTTGTAATCTCATATCATACTTCATTCCAGGCTCTTCCTACTCCCTGTTTTTCCTTCATCCATCATCCTCTCTCCTCTCTCCAGGCTCATGAGTTTGTGGACGAGCAGCTGTATGAGCAGAACTGTTTAGAAACAGCGCTGCAGACCTACCCCTCACGTAGCCCCTCTATATCCAGCCACAACAGTGCTGTGGGTACCTGCTGTGGCCGCAGAGTTAAAGGGAACACTCCTCTGCCCAATGCCAGCACGCCCTCCGCCCATCCCATCCCAACACACCAGGGCCCCCTGCAGGAGCTCAGCGCCATCCACATACAATGTGGTGACCTCCCATCCCACACCGCCAGGTGAATCTCAACAGCAGAAACACACAGAGGCACACCAGCAGCATCAAACGGGAGACAAAGGCTGAATAATGCCAACTTTGCTCGGGGAAAAACTGAGCTGCCCACAATATTTCCACTTAAAGGACTGCAGGTCCATGACGAATTTTTCAATTTTATCCACCAAGATTTTTAGATACTCTACCCTTCTCTGTGCTGTTATATTTGAAAACCTCATAGTAGTGTGTCTTTTTCAGAAACACTCCAGAAAATCCCTGGAGTTTATTCAGTGAATGTCAGAGGATAGTCCACATCTACTGATCTACCCTCCACTGCACAAGGAAAAGATGAATGAAATTAAAACAAAATACCTAGATCTCTGCATAAGATACACATCAGCAGACCTCTTGTGACTTCAGCTTGGCTGTGTGTTCAGGAAAGGTGTATTTTCTCCCACAAATGACAGTGAGGTCTGTGGATTGTCTAGAGAAACCAGGACATGGTTTCTTTGAAGTTAATTTGCTGTTTCTCAATGCTTTGAGCACCACAAACAAAATCCCATTCTATTCCTTTATCAGGAGATGAAACTGAACCCGTTTAATGGTAGATACAACCAAAGGTGGTGTAAGAAAAATGTCTCTAGTAATTTGGATGAAGTGACTTTGACGCAGGTTTAAAAAAAAAAAAAAAAAGAAGTGTAATATACAATGCAGTCACTAGAGGGGGCTGTAGGAATTTGTACAATATAATCTGTGAATACTTTGACATAATCTCTCTCAATTTCCAAATTAAATTAGATTTAGAAGTGTGATGATGTTTTTGCCTGAACTTGCATTATAATTACAGTTTAAAAAGTTAATAGTTATCTAATGAAAAAAATATATCAGTTATGTATGATGATTAACAATAACAGTTAATGAGAAGTTAATCGATGATTATAACAAACAGTAATAAATAACACGCGCAGTGATTCGCTTTAATATCATATACAGTAAGTGCCAGTGGATGTTAAGGCCACATAATATGCAGCAATTGCTATTTAAGGGGTCCTGCAAATAACATGTAAACAGTGTTATCTGATATGATTCAATTTAAAATCGAGATTACCCGTGTTTCAACAAAATGCTGTGTTCACATAGTCAGGGTACATTATACAGCTGCTGATAGTCTCTCTGTCTTTCTCTCTCTTTCTCTCTCTCTCTCTCTTTCTCTAGTCGATCAAACCTCAACCTGAAAACCGACGACAGCGGCAGGATCAACTGCAAAGGTGGCCGAATCACCACAGCAATCATCAGCCTCCCGACGCCCCCCGCTTTGACCCCTGACGGCGACGGCCTCCACGGGCCACCGCAGAGGAGGCCGCCCCCACCCCCGGGTCTTCCGGCACCCCCGAGCATCCAGACCACAACGAGCTCAGCTGGCACCAATATCGTCAAAGTCTCTGCTCTGTGACTCTCTAGGTGACGACGCAGGTCAGCACAGCAGGAGAAGTAGTAAAGAAGAAGAAAATGAAGAGGAGGAGTAGGATGGACAATGATGGACGCACCACATCCTGTCTCACAGGGTCAACAGGAAGAGCACTGTACTCCAGAAGAGTCACCAGTTGATGTTTAAGAGAAGACAGATGATGTGGAGACATTACTGAGGTAGAAGATTGTAGATATGTGAACCGAGAATCACGCACTCGTCTTGTCGTGTATGTACAGTAGATACGGACAAAATCGCTGCATTTCTAATAGTTTCTAACAGCAGTACAGATGTTTTACAGCAAGTACTGTGAAAAAGATTGAAAGACATTGTGCATTTAGCATATTCGTACATCAGCAGATGCTGTCAACATGCCACAAATTCACAGTAAATTTAAAGTGAATTCCCGGTGAAATAGTGAAAGGAGTATTTTGTTGACTTTAAATGTGTTTGAAGAAAGACAAAGAAGTGTTGACTGTATTTACTTGAATTTGATTGGTCTTGTTTGTGTTATGTGTTGTTTGTCTTAAGTATTTTGCGGAAAAAAGAGAAATTGAAAACAGTTTTAGTTTTCTTTACAGCATCATTTGAAAAGTCACGACATCCGATGCTAATAGTTTGAAGTGTCTGAAACTGAAAAGAGTGGGGGTTTTTTCTTTGTTTTTGTAGGAAAATTGTCTCTGTTCATCATGTCAAAGACTCAAGCCAAACTGTGCTGTTTAGTTCCTTCATGTTTCAATTTCTCACTAGAGATTGACTGCAGGGAGTGAGGCTGACCTGACACTGTCCTTATGACTTTATAGGTTTTCATACTGAGGTGAAACAAGACAGTGGTTCTCAACCTGATGGTCAAAACCCCTGAAATGGCCACAAAATGACTTTCAAGTCAAGGTTTGATATTTTCATTGAAGGATAAGGCCAGCATTATTCTACATTTTTCCTACTGTCAGCAAATCATATGAAAAGACCAGATCTTTGTGATTGCTTCACAAATTCATAGTTAAAATTTTTTTAAGTGATTCCCTGTAACAGCTGGACACTGTAGTTTTTAGCAAACATATGTAAAACAAGAGTAAGTACTGTATTTCTTGGGGACTATTTTCAGATGGGGATTCATAGAAAACCAGTGCTCATGTTTATCAAGGTGAAGGAACATGTCAGTGCAATGGAGTAGTTCAATTACACATTGACAATGTTATAGTAATGGAATGAGTACTTTTAACAGACAGTTTTATAAAGTGTCAAAACAGATGCAGCAGAACCAGAGATTATTTGATGGAGCTCTATGGCACAGAGAACTCAGCAATATCAGGCTGTACTTACACGGACAATGCATGTTAGTTGGATCAATTCACTGTTGGTTTTGGTTTTAGGATTTGTTGACAATAAGGAAAACTACCAATCGCCTTATCCTTTAAAGAAATGAAATACTCACAGTATTTTTACTATATGAATATACAAGCCTATTTATATGAATGTAATTTGTTGCTTTTTGCTCGGTGAAAAAATAAAAAGCTGTCATTCTTAATGCTTCCTCCACTCACCAACTATTGTAGGCTGAGAAAGAAAATGAAAAATAGAAATTACAATGTGTATATTCCTCTTGAGCATGAATAGGCATTTTAGGTACTGAGTGCCAAAAAGGTTGAGTGCCACTGTGACATCAAACAACCGTCTGGAGTGTTACAGGAACAGGGCCAATTCAGTGTTCAATTAATCTTTTTCAAACTAAAGCTGTAACTAAAAACCTAAACTGAAACATGATAATCAAAATGTTTTAAAATGGAGGGGAAATGGTTAAATATGCACTGAACTGGATGGAAAATCACCATCTCACTTTCCTGTGTTTTTACCTTTGGATCAGCTTCAAGAAAGCAGAAAAACAAACTGATCAAGACAACACAGTGCTCTCCGAGCTGTTTTCTGGTATGTCCTTTGGTGCCCTAGTTTACCGCCTTCAGTTATACCCATTTGTGTCTCAAGTTAAATAGATTGTCACTGAAAAGATATTTCACCACTGACTACAGTGGATGCATGGGGTGTGTTGGACATATGTATCTATATTGGCAATCAGAAATTAACAAAAATAAATATTAATATTAAACAATAACTTGAATTAATATTAAAATTATCCTCTGGGCACCATCATGGATCTTTGATTAACAGTTAACTTAATATGTACAACCAGAATTTCCCTATCAATAGTTAGGGAAGGTTCTGCAGAGTAGAGGTCAGCAACATTCCCTCATCATTAAATAGACCAGCAGGTGTACTCAAAAGGTATTTATTTACAAGATCACAAAGGTAAAACACACAATATTTAGTGACGTGTGTGTGTGTGTGTGTGTGTGTGCGCGCGTGCGCACACTGGTGGTGGTGGTGGTGGGGTAGACAGTTGAGGCCTAAGTAAGCGAGATGACAAATAAAATGGCAGTAAATGAAGGAAACTACTATACCAGGTTAAGCAGTCCCTGGAAAAAGAGAAATCCTCTCCAGAGTTGAAGACTTGTGTGGCTCCCTGGTGGAGTATAAGTCTGTCTGGCTGTGTGGCTTCTGTGTCTGAGGAGGCTGGACAACCCTTGGTTCGCCTTGCTGAGTTAGCCACTCGATGCTAACTCTGCTTCGTCGCTCTTTTTGCTAAAATCAGTTTTCAGACTTTGTGTTGTAGCTGCTGGCACTAAACTCTTGACTCTCTTAGACAGGGACTTGCAGTGCAGCAGTCTGTTGTGAGCATGCCTGCAGTGAAGAGGTTCCAGGTAACAGCAGTGCTAACCTGGTTCTGAGAGTGTTTGCTCCTGGGTGAAAGAATCAGAGAGAGGGAACAAAGCACAGCTGGGTCTTGTTGGCTTAGTGACACCTTAGGTCTCATGTCAAAAAGTGTTACAGCAATACTAGCTGGTTTTTAGGTCCCTGGGTGGGTTTCACACCCACGTGTGAAAGGTGAAGGATTCTGTGGGACTGAGTTGAAATTTTAAATGTGTACACAAGTACAATTGTGCTAAAAATAAGATAGTTTGACAAAACCATCCCAACTCAAGGTCCAGTTACTTACTTTTCCCAGAGCATTCAACCACATAACACTAATTTTGCTCAACATTTGCTCCAATTTGTATCAGAGATGCTATAACTTGTAAGTCAGTGGCAATAAAATGTGCTATAGATACGACAACAGCTACTGAGCTTAAGAGATGCATCTCCATGATAACTGAGCAAATTCCAGATGTGATGAAAAACCTTGTGATAAAACAGAGAAAGCAACAGAAAAAGCCAGTGAATGGCCTGTGACTTGGGATCATTTTGTCAAAGTAGTATTTCCTAGGTTAATAAGAAATCGATGCTCCAGAACAAGAAGCAAATCTCCATTGGTTAATCTTAGCAATGTCCACAAGATGGCAGCAAAGATTGACTGAAAATGAACTGAACCCTGGTCTGGTTTATAGCCTTACTCCTGTGTGTGGATATTATTTATATGCCTACCTGCTACACATTGTTGCTCATTTGATGTTGATAGACGCCTGGTGTTTGGAATAGTTTGTGACTACTTGCCAAGTGTGCTATGGTTATATGTATCAAATAAACAATGTGTTTATTTGTCCTTTGGTTTCTGTTTGTTTTGCTAAAAGTGAAAGCTACCTTCATGTGTTCTTCGATCATGGAAGTGAAGTTGTTTTTGGCTGTATTGGTATACTTTGTGTTGCATTTCTGTATTCTGTCATGTTTAAAAACCGAGGTGAAAGCTTTGTGCCAAAATGGTCACTTTTCCATCCTCTGAGTACTTTCTATGCTGCTATATAAAAAATTAAAAACCCTTTAGATAATTTTTCTTTTCACAGTTATTGCTAAAAATAATGAGGGTCTGCTCAGTCATGGTGTTTATAACTCGGATCTTGGTTTCCACTGAAACAGTATCTACACATTAGGGCTTCGTGCAGTATCATAGATGACTGTCATGCTTCATTTTTAGAGAAAACACTTCTCTCACACCAGTATGACTACTGTACCATGACTACTCATCATTATACGATGGACTTGAATTCATAAGGCATTGTGAGGGGTCACTTTTTTTTTTAAAAAGTCTTGGCATTGCTGTTTGTGTTGTTTCTTATCTTTTTATCCTTTTGAACTGAGCTTTTCTGTCTGTTTGCTGTGTATACAGTATTCTGTCAGTTTGTTTGTTACGACTATGAAATGTCAGATGAAAATTAAAACCTGCCACAGAAATTCAAGCGTTATCTTTCTTCTCGCTCCTGACACCAACATGGAAGTAGCTGATTGCAGAAAGTGGTTTTAAGATATGCACAGATTTAAATTAAATGTATTTTAAGAGAATATTGTCAGATACCATCTTTCATGTGCAGTTCTAAGAGGACAAGTACACAGAGAGCAAATTACATTATTTAATAAGGGAACTCCAGTGATTTTGTACTGCTCTTGCACAGAGTTGAAGGACTGCATGAGACACAGAAAAAGAATAGTCAAAATCAAAGCTGCAGAGGCAGAGATGTCGTCAGGTAATCTCTCTATTGTACTTCAGTATATCTCTATTAGTCCCTGGTCTGGCTCAAGCGCCACAAACACAAATGCCAGCATCTTTCAAGCTCCATGCTGCAGTTTTTAACATAAGCTTTCTGTTACAAATGTTTAGTCTCCAACCCATGATAGGCGCACTTTAAATGTTCTATATATACAGAATACTGTGAAAACATTGCAGGCAAATTAGATGTTTAGATTCTTATTCATCATGTAATATCATCAGGGAGTTGTGTGATCGGTCTCAAATTCATTCTACAGCATGAGAAAACATGAAAATTATTTTTAAGGCTTTTTGTGGCAGTTCCACATAACCACATACTTCTTAGTTGTAAACGTAAAAGCCTATCTACACGTGTGCATGTCTCACTAGATGGCAGTGTAGTTCACCTTTCTTGACTGTACAGTATAAGAGACGAAACATTTTCTATATATTGTTATTGAGTATTTTATTA